TTTCTCCCCATACAACAAGGAATTTACTCCAGGGTCCAATGGCACCTAACAGCTACAGTAAAACAGCCTTCCTATTCTGCTCTAACAACCGACAGCCCACACAAATTTACGTCCACTGTAGATCTAAAACCGTCCAAGAGAAACAGAATCATTTTGTCCGTTTAAGAATCTTCACGGGATCATTTCCGTAGTTTCTTACCCTCAAGAGAGACCTTTCTCCCCATACAACAAGGAATTTACTCCAGGGTCCAATGGCACCTAAGAGCTACAGTAAAACAGCCTTCCTATTCTGCTCTAACAACCGACAGCCCACACAAATTTACGTCCACTGTAGATCTAAAACCATCCAAGAGAAACAGAATCATTTTGTCCGTTTAAGAATCTTCACGGGATCATTTCCGTAGTTTCTTACCCTCAAGAGAGAATCTTTCTTACCTGCCTAGTAGGCCGCTTCATTTCCGGTTCCCAAGCGAACCAACGACCGACCAGCGCGAGTAGACACCTCGTAAAGGAATAAGGTATAATATACGTTACGACCACAGTTTAAAACGAGGCGATGGAATTTACAATGGCGATAGAGAAACAAGTGGGTTGCAGATTGACGTAGGCGTAGCTCTGAATTTTTGAATTTTAAATTCTTTATGTCGAAGAAACAAATCAAATAACTAGATCGACCAGGCGACTTTCCATACTGCCTTTTAAAATAAACTTATTGTGTTTTTATATCGTCTGTTATAAATTTTACAATGTAGATACTTTAAGGAAGTATTTATAATGAGAAGTTGTAAGCATATTTTCATGATTCTTCTATGGTTCTCCCATATACGCGATATAGAGAGGTTATACGAATGGCTCGTGTACCATGTAAAATCCCAGAAGCTATGGGGGTTTTCGTAATGGCAGGACATTTATAGACGCACGTGTCTCTCAAATAGAATTCTCGGATAAATTGGAGTCACTACACCCAGACAAATAGCCGAGGCGTGTCATGAGCCATGAGCCATCAAGAATGCCCTCGGATTCCTCCCTCTTCCGTATTGTTACTTCTTTTCCTATTTTTCATTCTTTTTCACTTATTGGCTTTCTCCCCATACAACAAGGAATTTACTCCAGGGTCCAATGGCACCTAAGAGCTACAGTAAAACAGCCTTCCTATTCTGCTCTAACAACCGACAGCCCACACAAATTTACGTCCACTGTAGATCTAAAACCATCCAAGAGAAACAGAATCATTTTGTCCGTTTAAGAATCTTCACGGGATCATTTCCGTAGTTTCTTACCCTCAAGAGAGAAGTATAAAGACGGAAGAAGAGACGAAGAGGAGAACTAGAGAGGGATGAACTAAAGACAAATTAGATTTACAGGGCATGCCATGAAACGTGATAAAATGCGTTTCATACGGCTTGAGTTTAAAATTACCCAGCAAGGCTAGGAATAACTTGGCATGTATTTTTGTAAAGTTGGGAGCCTTGACACCACATGAGTCAAACTTGAATTAAGCCGTAGAGATTGGACCACGTGAAATTCGGTCGGATGTACTCGAAGACACTTTTCTATTGACACAAGGATCCTCTGGGACAGGACACGTCTCCGTAGAAATTCCTTTGGGACCAAGTGCCAGGGTCTGATTAATAAAAAAATATTAGAAAATATTAGAACAATGAAATGAAAGACCGTGATACCAAGAAGAACTACTTGGCCCATCCTTATAGCCACTTTGAGAACGGGAATCGTAGCGGTTAACATCTTGCACTCGTAATCAGAGAGTGCCGGTATACCCAGATGCTTTTGCACTCCATTCGGACCCAATTCTAACGGAGCTGCAAAATACGTCACTTCCGGTATAACGCAGGATCGCACGTAAGCACACTCCACTACTCCTCTTTGATCACGTAACGCTGCAACAAATATTTCTTTTGAACTGAAAGAAAACAAAACTTCTAAATCCATTTACACATATATGTACCTTTACAAAGTGATATACAAAATCGAGCTGCAGCAAAAGCCATGGCCAATGATGAACTACCTTTTCGACCATATTCTTTAGCGACTTCCTCTTCCGCCATTTTTACAGAATAGGTAAGTTTGCCAATCTCTTCCTGGGAAATTAACTTAATGATAAATATGACAAATAAATAATACTTTCCGAAGAGGCTCAACATTTAAATTAAATTGATCACAAGTAGATCTACATGAAATACTTTGATAGAATCAAAACGAGCAAACGCAGTTTGAATTGCTCAACCGAGCACTAGGTCAAGGACTCTCTTAAGTTGCTTATACCAAGATACTAAGTTTGAGATCGTTGACTTTAGCATTCCAAGCATTCAGTTTACGCTCAGTTTAATTCCACGAATACAGATCACTCCGCTATTTGAGAATGTGACATTCTATCACTCGTTCGATTCGGAGGATTCAACTCAATCCTGCGTGTCTGGCAGAAGCTTTAAGCAATTCCGCTTAATTAACTAATTCTACGTATATTAATTTATTCCAAAGAAACAAACGTTCGTCAACTCGCTGCTGGGCTTCATTTGAGAAAATAAAGGGATGCACGTCTTCGGGCAACTTCCGCCAATTACGGGAACCAGCACGCATTCCGGTCCTATCCCAAGAATTTCTGCAGCGAATTTATTAGCACGTACACAATCCAATGACGTCACGCCGAAAAGATGCGTTTGCACTGTATCCTCATCGAATCCACCTTTTTTATACATCTCCGAGATTAAGGGTATCAGACTGTTCATGGGACGAGATACCAGAGCAATCATTGCCTGAAAATGATAGAAAATATTATTTGTTAATAATTCAAACCGTATTTCACATAAATATCAATAGTTCAGTATCATTCGGACTTGAGACTCAGAAGTCCATGGGACGCAACGAAGAGGAATTTAAGGCGGGGATATGGCGCCTCAAAATTAATGAGGATGTCCAAACTCGACGAGGTTGACCAGATCGAGAGGATAAGCTTGATTATTTGTTTGCGTATGCAATTTCATCGTGACGTACATGAGGCACAGTGTAACGAAAACCCTGCGTGGACAGCTTGACTAACAAGATCTGAATTTTTACATGCCGCTCGTAATGTTGCACTTTTTACCTTCGCTCGAGTATTTTAACCCGCCGCACTCGTCATGCTGTCTGCAGAGTTTAAGTTTCCGTGTTTTTGTGAAAAATTTAAAAATACATTTAATCATATAGCTTTAGTAGAGTTTTTGATATTGCATCAATGCATCAATCAGTCTGAAAATAGAAGAATCTTTAGCAATCAAAATAAGAGGGGCAAGTCAATCAATTTTCCGAGTGACTATAGGCTCATTTATAATCGTTCCGTCATCATTTTCAACATGGGGGTCATTGTACCAAACAGCGATGTCCGTCTTCATAAAACTGTAATTAAGATGGTAGAGGGCAATCAATTGTCATTTGATCTGGACGAGAAGTTTAGGGCTCTGAATTAATGAAGAAATTTTCAATGGAGATTCGCCCTTGCCTGTTTAGGATAAGAATATTTTTAAGATATTAAAAGAAAGGATGATGTACGTAGTAAGAAACGCCAATCAAGATCTGCTGGTTGTTTTGTCAGTTGAATCAAGAGGGACAGCTATGGAATAGCGTAGAAAAACAAGAACACGTTTAGCAGCTTTATTACGTAATGCAGCTACTTACTCGAGGACAGTATCTCATTAGACTTGGGACCAATTCCGAAATAACATTTGCATTTCTCTTTAAGAGTTCTTCTTGATTTTTCGTGATTTTTTTAAAAGCTTCATCTTCGGACGTTATCATTACGATTTTTGCATCCTGCAGAGCTTCCTTAAGATTTGCTTCGCTGACAATGCCTGCTGCGCCAGTACACGAATTGACCTTGCATCTTGTGTCGATGTGACTCAATTCCAAAACTAGGCCAGCCATGGAACTCCGGTCGTATACGGCTAATTCATCGATTAGAGATGATTGTTTCAAAAGCAATGAAAGGGCGGTACCTAAAAATAATATTTCATCAGAATTAATCTATTATCATATTATATCTTATTCTTATGGAGTTACCAGTTGGACCTGCAGCTCCTAAGACAGTTACTTTCATACATTTAGAATTGACTGCGGCAGTATGATGAGATTTAGTTTCCTGAATATTTTTTGAAGAAAAAATTAAAGGTTTTACATTGATTCTTCTAATTCCCATTCTTCTTGACTCTTTCAATACACGCTTTGTGATCACGATACAGTGTTCCAAGAGATGCATGATTGTGTCAGGAGGATCATGAAAATTTATCAAAATAGCTTTCGAAATAACTAATTTCTAAAATGTCTATGAAATACGTAACGGTTATAACGTTTAAAACAAACGAGTGTAAAGTTTATCCATGAATTCTCGGCCATTGCCACTGAATGCACTTGGTTATGCGTTGCTTATAAATAAGTTTCATAGGAAAGAAAATGGAAACGAATAAGAATCTAGAATTGGCTTAGCAAGTTCGCTAGAGTTTAAATCATTTCCACGTAACGTTTACTTTCCAGAGAATATAAGGAGAGTCGGAGGAAGTAACCAGGAATAACAAAATGATCACGTGAAGTTTCCTTATAGCGGATAGTTGCCGCTGGTAAGATATTTTTGTTCATTTCCTCATCCTAGTACAGACCTGGAGTGCGGCGTTAAGAGTTACGCAAACAAGAAATAAAAATAATGAGAAGAACATCAAGTGAATCGGAAAAGAGGATCTCACGGTGGCGCCAGTATGGAATGTAGTAATGCGACTATAACGAAAACGAGAAGAGAATTAAAAAAGGAAGTAGACGATGATGGCGACGTCGACAACGACGAAGAAGAACAAGAAGAAGAATCTTCTAAGAGAGCTGAGCGTCTGCAGCGAACTGATTGCCATATGTTCTCAATTCATAAATACTAAAACAGAAACGTAAATCGTGATTGTACGGAAAACAGTAGTTACAGTATATAAGACATAACTTTCAGTTAAATGTTAAGAGAGTATTTGCGACGCGTGTGCAAATTGATGGGGATGTCGTGCGTGAGCCAAAAGAAGCAAATAAGGATAAGTCGTGTGTTACCAAGCACATACGTGTCTCATACATCCAGAGAGACTTGTAAGCTATACGTTTTTACGAGAGTGCTCCGAAACGACATCGTGGAACGCTACCATTAATTTGTCTGTCGCTAACACCAAAGATCTTCGACCAGATCCCTTTGTGCAATAGCAAACATTGCCAGAGACTTAAGTCTCCTCTTCGTTCTGTCTCTTGTTCTTGATGAGATGAAATAATTTCTTCGGAGATTACCTTTGTACCAATTTGCAGAGGCTAAACTGGAACAAACTAGAGGTACTTGCTAGTTTTTCATAAGGATTTATCTTGCAGAGTTTCTTAGTAGTATCAAAATAGAATCCTACTGCCATCTCTTGTGAGAAAATCTTCCTGTAGAGAGTCGATACAAAAGAAATCTGGAATCTATTGTTTTAGAAAGTAGATACCTACTGCGGATACAATAGGACTTGTAAATAAAGAAACAAGTTTAATTATCTCAGTCAATATTGAAAAGCTTGAGTTAACAATAATGTAATATTACTGCTCTGTAAGATCGTCATTGTAGTAACAAAGGATGGCTGGTATATAAGTATCGTCTGGTAATCCAGCTTCTAAAAAACGTTCTCTCTCATCCACTATTCCATTTTCAGTTAAAGTGCAATTCGTATCGATAGGTAGTCCCTCAAATTTCCATGTATAAGACGTACCATGTGCATTAAAGCCCAGAAAACGTTCTTGAATTCTTGCTACAGTATCTTCTTCGCAAATCTGTAATATTTTTCAATGAAATATTCTTGTTTGTAATAGTTCCATAAATCATAGGTATGACGCCTGTGCTTTTAGAATCTCTTTTACCTGTACTACCTATACATCCATAAGTCCATACCAAATAATTACTGCTTACCAATATAACTGCCTCGGTCCCAGTAAGAACATTGATGATCCTACAAGGTCTAGCATTCTTCGTCAGATTCCCCCTCATGTATTTGTCATCCAGCCAAGAAGGACGATTATTGACAGTCGAATTTATCGATTCGCCAAATGCTACGTGCTCTACAGGCGCAATAAATAATCAGGATAGAATGAACAAAGCTGATTTTACTAATCAAATCGATTCATCGTCTCATACCTTTTGCATTATCATAAGACCAGTGGCTGATATCCTTGCCGGCATATGCGATAATGAGTTCAATCCCTTGGTGTCCTTTTCGAAGGTTACAAAGTTCTGTTAAGTCATACACACTACCTCGATACGAGACCCAACAATCCTTGGTTGTATTATGAAGAGACACTTCGCAGGGAAGGAAATACGGTAGTTGACAGGTACATTTGTTACATTTAAAATTTTCTGTCATCGCCATTAATAAATGTCAGTGACGTCTTTTAAAATTCCCGCGCTCTGTAGAGTAGCTTCGTTGAGAAGAGAAGGAAAGCCTAAGCAGTGATAATATATTGATACCCGACAATTTTACTTTTATAGATTATCCTGCATTTCTTGATGAATTCCCATTATTGTCAGGACTTCGTAAATAATTCGTCGATGACAGTCTACATTGATTTCTAGATATGAATTCGACTCATTTGTACGAGAGCAAACGCGATTTCCTGTTTGAAGTTGCACGTTTCAACAAAGGGACAGTGTGGTTTATATTTTCTACAGTTTTGTTTTTTACACCGTGTATGATGGCGAGTACCACAGCAGAAAAGGTAAATTATTCGGTTTTGCATATCGTGCGTATCTCGGCCGCCGAAAGTGACCTTAGATGCTATTAAAATTTTTAAAAAGGAGAAATATCTGTGGTTAGGTTAGTGCCTTCAGCGACCGGTAGGGCTTCAGCCTTCGACAGTATTGTTTGTGTTATTACGATGGTGCCTTCAAATGTGGTAATCATACAAAATTCCTCTATTTATGCTCTATTCTCTTTTCGTGGAACATTCCTATAGAATTAATTTTCATCCTGAGCATTGTATTTAAGTAATTCAGCGGACAAATATGTTCATCATCATGTTTCTAACCTTTCTGTAAGCTGTCTTTCGCGCTCCGTCATGTGGTCGCGAGGAGACAAATCAAGCTATCGCCGGAGACACGTTTTTTTTTTTAAATTTAATATCGGAACATTATTTTGCCTGGGACTCTGAATCGCCTGGTGCAAATTAACGAGGATTCGGGCACATTCCATTTTACTTATAATATACTTTCTTTTTCTAACACCGAATGCTCGCTGTGATTGAAGAACATCTATATATGCGATGAGTAACTCGCATGACGCTATATTACACGTTAAAGTATCTTTAACACGCAAATGCACCATCAGTCTTTCCATATTCTAGAAAGATATTTGAATAAGATGAAAGCAAGTAATAAGTATATTTTTTTTAGAATTAAGCATTTATACTATGGATTTAGTTTCAATTGAACATTTATTCATCATAGATAGATAAGAATTTTTTCATTATCTTTTTCAATTTTAGGATATTTAGCTAATTGTGAAAATAATAAAACAATTGATATATACTTGAAACAAGAATTCTGTATAAATGTAGAGCCATCGGGTAGTATTAGATATGTGACTCTAAAATGAAATATAATTCATATTATTTCAATGTATCTTTTAATATGATTTCATTCATTTATTTCTATGATTTTATTAAACTGAAATATTCTATTACCTATATCTTGATTTTATCCATTACTACTTTCTTATTTTATATTGCTTCGATTACTAATATTTATACTTTGACTTGTAGGTTCAGGAATACAAGGACTCTCTTAAGACAAAGGTATAATCAGATACAGTTTTACATAAGACTTAATTTTTTATAACTTCGGTTTGTTTATTAACGTAATTTGCAGGCGGAGCAACTTATAATAAAAGGGTTTCCAGAAAAGATTGTGAAACTCAATGAGATTTTGGAAACACCCGGTTTTTCAAGAGGCGATTTATCCGATGTCCATCAAGATTTGAATGTGCCTATTCCAGATCCAATAGTACTTAATCATTCTGAAGATGAACCCAGGCCAAAGAAAAAGAAGTTGGATAACTGCGTGGAAGAGGCCAGTGGGACAAAAGTAATGATACTTCCAAACGGACCAGTACCTTGCAACAAACCCCTGTCTGAATTGATCCACATTGTCAAGCCATACATTAGACAACTTTTGGAAGATTCTAATTTGGTAACTTATACTTATCAAATTGCACATAGAACACCATTAATCAGTGATCTTTGTTTTCAGTTAAAAATGTGGATTTCCTTCATGATTCCAAAAATTGAAGATGGAAACAATTTTGGAGTATCCATTCAAGAAGATACTCTTGCTGAAATTCAATCAGTCGAAAGTGAAGCAGCATCTTTCTTCGATCAAATATCAAGGTACTTGAAAATTATGTATTAATGAACACCTCCTAAAGATGAAGAACGGGGGGACGGGGGCAATAAAAAAATATTCATCTATGTTTCCAGGTACTTTATATCCCGAGGTAAGATACTGAGCAAAGTTGCGAAATATCCACACATTATTGACTACAGACGAGCTGTCCAGGAATTGGACGAGAAGGAGTATGTTAGTTTGTGTCTTGTGATGTGCGAGGTGCGCAATCGTTACTGTTCGTTGCACGATATAGTTATAAAGAACTTGGAGAAGATAAAACGACCGCGACCATCTAATGCCACCGAATCTTTATACTAAACAAATGAAAATGGCCCTCGTACGTCAATGCTAGGTGTGTGTAAGTGAGTAAGTGTAAATGCAGGGAAAAATATCATATGTTAAGAAGCCACAAAAAGTAAATTGAAAATAAATAAACTGCTGAAGAAATAAAGTAATCAAGAGATACAGTAATGGCTTGCCTCTATATGGATAATCATAAAAATAAATATGTGGTTAGGGTACGCTTTATTATTTATAATCAAGTGTACTCTAATCAAACATAACTTTTAATAATTACATTACAACAAAACCATAGTCAATTTAACTGCGGTCAAGTCACAGCAGCACTTACGATATTTGTGAAGGATAATTGCACTATCACGACGATCTATAGGACCTGCGAAAAATCTATGCTGGGCATGTAACAAAAGTTAAACAGGCTTAAATCCTTATCTCTGTGAACAATGAGATCTGTCTGATCTCTTAAACCAACCACTTATTGGATGCAAGAAACAATCGATCTGAGTTGGATGTCAACTAGCATCCTTCCCTTTGGCATAACATTATGTGGAGCTGTACAGTAACGCACTCATCTCATAATAAAAATATAATAAACATTCGTAGTTTTAGAACATGATTTCTTCACAATATCTAGACGAGTATGATTTTCTCAAAAATAAAAAGAATTTTGAGCGATCACTGCGTAATAGTATTTTTAACAACATTTCCCACTATTTTTGTATTATTAAGATTCTTAATCAAAGACGCGAATATAATCATAACGATCGCTTAAAAATATTACACGAGCATTATTTATAGATCAGTAATTGTATACTATATATCAAGAGACTCGGACGAGTCTCGCGCCAAGTACAGGCAACCAGCCATACAGGGTACAGCCCTTTGAGACTACTCGAAGCATCTCTTGTACCTGTGTTTCGACTCAAATATTTTATGACAGGCTCCGCTTAGCGGGTCTGTGCATTTCTTGATATAAATTTGGGTCCGCAAAGAAGTACTCGATAAGGAATCATCTAATATTTTAATAATTTTTAAATGACCATTAAATCATAATTAAATATGAAAAGCAGTAGTGACGTAAAAGAGTAGCGAAAATGTTATAGAAAATTTTTAAAATCAATTAAAAAGACGGGCCAGTGCTAGATCATATAATAGTCAAACATGTAGTAACTTATGTACTTGGCCTTAATAATATGATTTCAATACTTTTTATTAGAGGAATTCACATTACTCCTGTACTTGACGTAGTTTATTATACGTAAGTGTTTTTGTTGGGGGATTACATTTTACATTAGAGCCGCACTATATGGGTTTACTACGGTTTTAGGCGATACCAAAAACATGACGCTGAATCGCAGCGGCGAGTCCGGAATTAGAATTTTGTGATCATCGCCTCCGTCGATAATGCGGATCCCGTCATAGCCGAGCTAACCGCGATCACGAACGTGTAGCTTGGCGAGCAGAGGCTCTTCTCTACTTGCCACCCAAAGCAACACTTACAACCAGGCAGCACATCGAATATAGCCTAAATATTTTTTTTCTTTCCGTTCCTAAGTTCGAGCGCACAGTGTAAGCTCGGTAAGTTATATATGAAAAAAGCCAGCAACTCATACCTGCGTGAAGTTGGGAGGGGCGGGTGGGCCAAGCAAATTCCGAGCAGCAGGGATTGCGCTCGATGGGATGCTTCGCACCCGCATCTCGCGTTTAAGGGCGGGGGAGTTGTAACGTGGCGTTACAGAGTTGGAGGGCATACCACCTAGGAATGACCGAAAAATAAATAAATAGGACTTATCAGGTCGGACAGTGGGTTCAATAGCACAGTGGTAAGTGCTCGACTTGGCAGTCCGAAGGTATCGGGTTCGAGTCCCGATCAGAACTCCTAATTTTCCGGAAATTCCTAGCTCTCTAGTGCTCCCTGGCGGCTCTATGGATCAAAAATTAATTATAGCGGGGACGAGCCGAGCCGGGCACCCCGTTATAAATGGCGCCCAACGTGGGGGCCAGCAACTCATACCTGCGTGAAGTTGGGCGGCCAACTTTTATTTTTTAAACTTTTTTTTATTCCAATCGTTTGATAGTCGTTTAATAGTGTTTGATAGTCTTGTACAAACGTTTGATAGTCATTAGTCTTTTCAGAAAAAGTTTGATAGTCTTGTAAAAACGTTTGATAGTCATTAGTCTTTTCAGAAAAACAAAATCAAAATCTGGTGTGAAGTTGGCCGGCACTTTTTTGTTTCTAACCGGATTTTGTTTTTCCGGAGCTCAATCGATGCAAAATCGTTTGATAGTTGCGAATTAATTAATAAAAACGTTTGATAGTCCATCGTTTGCAAGAAAAATGAGAAAAACCATATGCGAATCAAGGATCCCAATTGATACGGTACAATCGATTTCACGGGTGTTAGCTCCAGCACCGCACTTTCTTTACAAATCTCTTAAAAATGTGATAGTTGCGAATTAATTAATAAAAACGTTTGATAGTCCATCGTTTGCAAGAAAAATGAGAAAAACCATATGCGAATCAAGGATCCCAATTGATACGGTACAATCGATTTCACGGGTGTTAGCTCCACCACCGCACTTTCTTTACAAATCTCTTAAAAATGTTTCAACAATAGGCTTTTTCAATAGCTCTCGAGGAGTTCTATAGTTCCAGATAGGTTTTAACATTAGTTCTTGACTTACCATAAATTGAAAAAAAAACTGTGAGAATGCAAACCATGGGACTCGCCACGTTACTAACGTTACTATTTTGAAAAAATCAAAAACCTGGCACCTAGACGCAGTACTTACAGCTTACTTACCTTCAATCGTTACTATTTTGAAAAAATCAAAAACCTGGCACCTAGACGCAGTACTTAGAGCTTACTTACCTTCAATTTAAAAAAAAAACATTGAATGTACAAACGACGACACGCAGTGGAGACATACTAGAGACTATACTCTTTCGAATGGGACTAATAGGAAAGCGGTACAAACAATACATTTTTTAAAAACTCGAAAAAATGCCGTCTAATCTAACCTAAGCAAAATCTATAGAAAATTTAAAGAAAATGACTCGTGGAAATGATCTCAAATGACTAAATACTCCGAAGCGCAAAGAAAACACGAACCCTGGAAACAAATTTCCATAACCTAACACATCCTATAACCTATAATCGAGAATATCGATTCCTTTAAAGCGGCCCTATCGCAATTTGATCTGTGCCAGCCTCTTCTATGGACCATTCTGAGTTTCTGCGGTACGAGATCTTTAAAAATTTCAAAGAGAAAGCCATAGATCCAACCGTTTGCGAGATACAGCCCGCCGAAGGTGAAATGTCGCGTATTTTCAGAATCCAAGAACGGGGATTCCTTGTACGTGGCCCTAACCTTGACTTTTGACATTTTTCTTACATAATTAATAAATTGGGAGTACTCACCGGAGCTGATGCAGCTAATCCGAGAAGGCCGAGGACCGTATCCAGAGGACACTCGGGTGGGCACTTCACTAGGTCACAGCACTACACATCCGGAACACGCACGAGAAATCCATAGAATTTCCTGGATATCGCGAGAGAAACGCGAGAACTTTCTATACCGTAGCGAAACACAGATAGAAAGAGATGTCTTCGCGACGCACTTACTCAAATGTGTCAATTCACTACGTCACACTTTTTTTCGTAAATGAAGGTAAAGAATAAAGAGTATAGAAAGAGACGTTTCGCGACGCACTACGTCACACTTTTTTTCGTAAATAAAGGTAAAAGATAAAGAGTATAGAAAGAGACATTTCGACAATTTTACTTTTATAGATTATCCTGCATTTCTTGATGAATTCCCATTATTGTCAGGACTTCGTAAATAATTCGTCGATGACAGTCTACATTGATTTCTAGATATGAATTCGACTCATTTGTACGAGAGCAAACGCGATTTCCTGTTTGAAGTTGCACGTTTCAACAAAGGGACAGTGTGGTTTATATTTTCTACAGTTTTGTTTTTTACACCGTGTATGATGGCGAGTACCACAGCAGAAAAGGTAAATTATTCGGTTTTGCATATCGTGCGTATCTCGGCCGCCGAAAGTGACCTTAGATGCTATTAAAATTTTTGGGCACGGAGAGCCGTGTCGCCAACGAAAGCCGCCAAGAGAATGCCGATTCCGACGAAGATTCGCGGCAAGGGGAAGCCGGGGAAAGAAACCGGCACCGCCGAGCCCGAAAATCGGGCGGACTCGGGTAAGATCGGCGCCGCCCGGAGCCTGGCGGGCGGTGAGCGCCGAAAAGCGGATAGCGGACCGAGGCGAGAGATAACGCACGAGTTCGGGTGAACTCGGGATTCTTCGGGAATCCTCGGGCCGGGGGGCAAAAAGGGGCCCACTTCGTTTTCGAACCGCGGATCGGGAATACCGAAAATCGGCGGATAAGGTATCGCGATTTTTCGGGTTTGAGTGTGGTGAGAGTGTGTGAGGATTGCAGAACCTGTTGTGCAACATGGCTTTTTCCCGGACGTGATATGGAATGGGATC